GAAAGAAAATCTCAATAAAGCTGGAAGATATTTACGAAAATAAATTTAAAAATATTATAATTCACTCCAGTATGATCAGAATCATAAATAAATAAGCATTTATCAATCATTAAATCGTTTACTTATTAAATTTTGATCGCAGCATAATAAATAATTTACGTTCTTTACCTCACTGATAAAACATAAATCAAATGTTGCGTAATTGGAAACAAAATTTTCAGCGTAAACGTGAAAATAAAATTATCGATATGTATATGATAATTTCCTATAGTTTTCTCAGCAGAGTTTTAATCGCGACAAATTTATTTAAAAAAAGAGACATTAAAATGAAGAGGTTTTGGCGTAGTTCGTATATGAAAACGCACAGCGTGTGTAGTTAGTTGTAATATTTAAATAACCGCGTTTAAATACTTGAGTATCGGTCTCGGCCGAAACGTTTTGCGAGTGAAAAGCCGATATCCGCCTTGACGCGATAATCAGTATACACGGCCATGGCTCGCTACGCCTCGCTACGGCTCGCAAGGTCCCGACCTTGCACGAGCACGATCTCTCGTCCGGGAGAAGAGGAGAGACTTCGCCGTGGCGGCGAGGAGACGTGGACGCGCGCTCTTGTCCGACAGCGGAGATCTTCTTTGGGGCTAGCGAAAAAGGCGCGCGCGAAGTGGCGAGGTGAGTTTCCCATGCCGCGTGGCGGTATGACGAGGCGCGTCGTTTATCAAAAATAAATTATCAAGAGAAGGATCTCGGAGGCGCGAAAGGGGATGAGGCAGGGCGGGCGGGGTGGATATACCGCGTGCCTTCGCGCGTGCATGGCCGCGTACAGGAAACTCCGGGGACCAGGAGACGGAGAGGGCCGAGATAGGCAAAGCGCGGCGGGAGGAGGAAGCACAACGAAGACGAAGAAGATGCCGAAGAAGCGGCGGCGACTACGCGAGCCGTGGTACGAGAAGAGGGGGGGGGAAGACACGGACCGACCACGAAGAAGCAACTTACGGCGACGGCACGGCCGCTGCTCGAAGGACGGAAAGGTGGAAGAGCATCCTTTGGAACCGGTCCGTCCTCTCGGAGCTTGCTCCGAGTCGCGGCCAGGTGAAGCCAGAAGGCGAGCCTTCGCGACGCCCGCCCTGACGCGTCCATCGCGGATTTCGCGCTTGAAACCCGAAATACGCTGCTCGGTGAAATAGAAACAGCGTGTAAAAACTGATATATGTTCGCGATTTTATGCAGAGATTTAATATACGACGAATTTGTTATAATAATTTACGATTATATTTTAAAACACTATTTTTGATATAATTCATTGAATATTTGTACACTTTAAAAAAAAAATTAGATTAGAAATGCGGGGCACACACAAACATTGGTTGACAGCGAAAAAGAATATATTTTGCTAAAAATAATTATACGTTCGTAAGCAATTTCGCAAGCAATTTTTGTGGTCTCAAAAATAATGTATACACTTCACGTAGCTCGCAACATCACGATTGAAATGAAAGGGTTAAAAAGCTACGATGTGACTATCGTTGAGTATAAGAAAGATAACGAGAGAACTTGAAAAGAGCTCTTGCGAAGCAACGAGATGAAACTGATCCTATCTTTTCGATACGTAGCTTATCATTATGATCGCCGTGGAACCAATACACCTAATATGCACTATCCCAGTTTTACCTTGTGTGAAAGTCATACATAATATCTATAGCGTGTAGTTAGGACAACCAGTGTCGCACCCCGTGCATTGGATGTATGCCAGAGAATAATATTGGTGTTCTAGTTCCAAATTACCATAAAATTTAGTATATTTAAATATTGTACGTTGTCGCACAGTGCTCAATAAATGCCTGCTCCCAGGAGTTAGAATAATCATGGTTTTTTAAAAAGGCAGAAAGAACGGTAAGATCTTACAAAGAGAACATTTCAGCTTTTATCTTCAAGTCACAGAATGGCGTTGGTCATTCCAACTCTCCGTACAGACATGATTTAATGTAGCAATTAAATTTCTGGGATCACTATTGGCACTTGCTTATAGTACGAGAGTATTAGTTTCTGTATTAAGACGCTCTGTTCTCTCTCCTATCCAATTTATATCGTACTTTCTCTTCGACATTTGATTCTAACGCAAGTTTTTACGATAATATTACAAATTATTTAATTATTGTAATTCATATAACGGTATACATTTGTAGGTATTTCGCGATATAGCGCAAGCACGTTGGAGCGATAAGTTGATTAAATCAATTATCGATCTATATGAATCTCTTCAATGGAGAGTTTGGAAATCCTTCATTAATTGTAAGAGAACGCGTCAACATGTCAAATATAACGTAAAACAATACTTGGGTTACGGAAAAGTGATGAGTCCGCGTAATTGAGAATAAGGATAGAGAATATAAAAGTGGAAGAGCAAATGAGAAGAAGAGAGAAAGAGAGCCAGGAGAAAAGAGAAAGAGAAGGATGAGAGGAAAGAGCGGAAAGAGGGGCGAGCAAGAAGACAAGCGGGGGAAAGCGGGAGGGTGACAGGATCACAAGGTGAGAGGATGAGAGAAAGGGGGAAGGGGGACGTAGAGCAGGTTAAGAGCGGCGACGGAGAAGAGAAAAAGAGAGAGAAAGACAGAGAGAGTAAGATAGAACTGTGATGAGAGGGAGGCGGAGGGAGAAGCGAAGGGAAGGCGGTGAGGAGTGGGTGGGGAGTGAGGAGCGAGGGAACAGAGACTGAGGGAAATTGTGAGGTTAAAGGAGGATCGAAAGAGAAAGAGAGAGCGAGAGAGAGAGAGAGAGAGAGAGAGAGAGAGAGAGAGAGAGAGAGAGAGAGAGAGAGAGAGAGAGAGAGAGAGAGAGAGAGAGAGAGAGAGAGAAAGAGATGGGAGAGACGTAGTGACAGTATAGGATGGAGTGAGCGGGAGGTGGAAGCAACCTCCAATAATTGTGAATGGGGATTCGGTTTTCTGATCGACTGTTTTGTATGCGAGAGAGAACGCCGTTGCGTCGCCGCCGAGAAGTAAGAATACTTCGAGGCCTATGGAAGTAACTGTAAATGCGTGGCGCTATTACAGTACGCTTCTATTCGCCGGCGATACTTGTGTTTTATCACGCTGCGATTAAGTCTCATCCGGCCGGCGTCTTTTTGCAATCAACGGGAGATTTGATTCGCGCCGGGATAACTATTTCGCACGAGTTTGAGACTTATCGAGAGAGAGAGAGAGAGAGAGAGAGAGAGAGAGAGAGAGAGAGAGAGAGAGAGAGAGAGGAGGAGGAGGAGGA